GATATAGGTCTATAATTGACCAAGTCATCTGGGTCAAGAGACGGTTTCTTAAGCAGAGGTTTAATTACAGCAACCTTAAAAGCTTTAGGTACATATCCCTGTAACAGAGATAGATTAATCACATCTAAAATGGAGGAGGAGATCAAAGGGAATACCTCCTTAAATAACCTGGTTGTAACTGGATCTAACATACAAGTTAAGGGCTTAGATGAAGACAATAATTTTGCTAATTCAGAAAGTTCAACTGGATCAAAGCAGTCTAAACCCGGTTCAGATTCCATGACTACCTCAGGTACAGTCGCGGATAGAGGAGTGCTTATGATCTTATTTTTAATAAGATCAATCTTATTTATAAAGAATCCCATAAAATCATTGCTGCTAAGAGCAGGTGGAATTGACGGTTCAACAGAGCTATGGCTCTGGGTTAGTTTGGCAACTGTATTAAAAAGAAATCTAGGATTATTCTTATTCTTCTCTATTAATGAGGAGAAGTATGCTGCTCTTGCTTTACAAAGGGTCCTCTTATACAGCAGTAAAACATTTTTCCAGACTAGGAAGGACTCCCGCAGGCCTGTGGAGCGATATTTTCTCTCCAGTTTCCTAGCATTTTGCTTCAAAGTACGCAGCTCTGCATTAAACCAAGGAGCAAGCTTTCTATTTTTAACGGTTTTCATTTTCAAAGGAGCTGCGTTGTCTAAGGCAATACGCAGAGAACTAGCAACCCCATCAACAAAATCATCAACCTGTGAAGGGGAATAAGCTATGCTTTTGCACTCTGCAGCACTGCTCAGCGACACAGAGGAGAGAGAAAGTGAAGCAGATTCTTTAAAATTTATAACTGCACTATCTGATAAAGATCTACTAAAATTGAACCTTCTTTTGGGGGAGGAGAACTCTGTTAAAGTAATCCTGAAGGTTATTAGAAAGTGGTCAGAGAGGACAGGGTTGTGAGTAGGGCTGCAACTAACGGTTATTTTAAAAATCGATTAATCGGCCGATTATTTTTTCGATTAATCGATGAATCGGACAAAAAATATTTTTTATATTTTATACTCTTTATTCCAAAATAAACATTTTAGACAGATCAAACAAGCACACAAGTACAGATTGCTCATTAACTGTACTGGTGCAATATGAAAAATAAATGTTTGTGTTAAAACTATGCAAACTTACATGAGAAATGTAGCTGTACATCCACAAAATATAGGCTACTTTGTTTCATAAAGCGCAAAAAAGACATTTTTGTTTTTAAAAGCCCCTAAGGGGTTAAAACAATAGGCCCCCCATTTCAACAAATGAGTTTTTTTTAGACTAATAGAGTTCGGCCTTTTAAGACAGGAAAGTATAACAGTTAAAGTTGCTACTTGAGAAAATACTGAACCATAGAGATAAAAATAGCCCTGTGATTCAAATTATAAATTGTATTTGGAATAAAAATTAGAGAACTAGGGGTGCTAAAACACACATCCTCCAAAGACAGATATTTACATGGAAATGTGGCATATAATTAATTGACATATTACTGATTTTATTCTGCTTTACTTCCATAAATAGCAGGATCTTCTTTACTTTATCTTTGCCAGAAGATTTAAACTTTAAAAGCCTTGCCCTCATAATTTGCAAGTAAATTTCTTTATAAAGTAAATCTAAACGCTGCTTAAGCTAATTCAAATGAAATTAAAAGTAAAATAAGTAGCCAACCTTATCACTGTCTGTAACCTACTAACAAGGTAAGGAAAGCATCAGATGAGCTACCTGAGAAACTAACGTTACGTTTCCCCACTTTAAAACCAAACAAACATGGTGGTTCCGTGCCATGTTCATTTGTTTTGACAAAAGTTGCATGTTACGACTTTTTTCACTGTACAAAGCGCAGGCTATTTTAATTATTGCGATCAATTTGCGCCGTCAATCCCGGTGCATGCGCCCTTCATTTGCAGTCTGGACGCTGAGGGTAAAAATCCTGCTGCTCTGACTGCAGCACTGAGAGGGACTCCTGCGGGAGCGGGGGGAGGCACCCCACGGCAGAGTAGGAATGATACATGCTTTCACGTAAGAGTCTCCAAAAGCCGCCAGTGACACCATAAAAAGTCGCCAGATTTGTTGCTAGTCGCTTTTTTGAAAAATAGTCGCTGGAGGGGTCTGAAAAGTCGCTGAGTTGGCAACACTGCACCTGCAGCGCTGACTCGCTCTGCCGTATTTTTTCTTCTTCCCCGTTTCAGTCAAGTGGATGTGATGATGGTGGTGGCGGATGACGCATTAATCGCGTGACACAACTAATCGATGATGAAATTCGTTGCCAACGCTTTCAAAAGTCGATTTTTATCGATTCGTTGTTGCAGCCCTAGTTGTGTGGAAATACTGTTATTTCTTCACATTCTATGCCGTATTTCAGCACTAGATCCAAAGTATGAAGATGAGAATGTGTGGGACTATTCACATTTTGAACAAAGCCAATAGTGTCTAAGATAGCATTAAAGGCTGCTCTTAAGCTATCGCCTTCAATGTCAGCATGGATGTTAAAATCTCCCACTATGATGACCCTGTCAGTATTTAATACCAAATCAGAAAGGAACTCTGAAAACTCATCTAAAAATTCAGAGTAAGGACCTGGTGGACGATACAAAGTTACAAAAAGAAGAGGTTTTCTTGCCTTGAAATTTGGATCAGGGAAATTAAGGGTTAAATGTTCAAAAGAGTTGTAGGTATTAATTGTTTTGGGAGTAATCAGTAAGTCAGACTGGAAGATTGTTGCTACTCCTCCTCCTAGCCCAGAACTTCTGGGTATGTGAAAATTTAAATAGCTTGAAGGAGTTGCCTCATTTATGGTCACATAATCCTCTTGCTGCAGCCAGGTTTCTGTAAGGCAACACAAGTCAATGTGATTATCACAAATCAAGTCATTAACTAGCAGACTTTTAGAGGAAAGAGATCTTATGTTAAACAGACCACATTTAATCGTTTTAACTTTTTCCCCAATTGGAGTTATTTTGATTTTAATTAGATCATCATGATTTACTCCTTTGGGAATCTTTGCTAATTTATTAGATTTTGGTCGTGGGCAAGACACTGTCTGGATGGAGTAAAGAGTGGGTAACAGTAGAGAAGCTGCAGAGATGTGTGTTAAACTACAACTCTGCTTCCTGGTCTGCACCCTGGGTGGTCAGGGTTTTGGAGGACTAATAAATGTGGCCAGATTCCTAAAAAGAAGAGCGGCACCATCCAAAGTTGGATGGATGCCGTCTCTCCGAATCAGACGAGGCTTTCCCCAAAAGGATTGCCAATTATTAATGTAGCCCACGTTGTTTTCAGGACACCACCTAGACAACCAGCGGTTGAATGACGACATGCGGCTAAACATGTCATCACTGGTCAGATCAGGGAGGGGACCAGAGAAATTACGGAGTCCGACATTTTTTTGGCTAACTTACACACCGAAGCAACACTAATTTTAGTGACCTCCGATCGGCGTAACCGGGTGTCATTACCACCAGCGTGAATAACAATCTTACTGTATTTAACCTTATCCTTAGCCAGTAGTTTCAGGTAGGATTTGATGTCGCCCGTTCTGGCCCCCGGCAAACATTTGACTATGGTCCCTGGTGTCTCTAATGCCACGTTTCTGACTATGGAGCTGCCAATCACCAGAGTGGGCTTTTCAGTGGGTGTGTCACTGAGTGGGGAAAACCGGTTAGAAACGTGAACGGGTTGGTGGTGACCAGTGGGCAGAGATCCACGACTACGCTTTCTGCGTACAGCTACCCAATCGCCTGGCTGCTCAGGCACTTTTGGAGGACAGCTACGTGGGGGGCCTACTTTAACTCCTGGATGTTCAACAGCCTGAAGCCTGGATTCTAACTCTGACACCCTCGCCTCCAAAGCTACAAAAATACTACACTTATTACACATCCCATTATCACTAAAGGAGGCAGAGGAATAACTGAACATCTGACACAGAGAGCAGGAGAGAGGAGAGGAAGAAGGAAGAGTTGGAAAAGAGTCAAGGGAGGCAGAGAGAGCAGCCATAGCAATGCTAAGCTAGCGCTAGCCTAGGCTAGCTACTCCTTGCTATCAGAAATAAAACCGTGTGAAACTGACAAGTGCTCAGTAGAAAAGTGCAGCAGAAGGTGCTATGTTTTAAAGTAGTCAGTTAGAGTTACTTAGATACAGAGATATCACAGAGAAAATAACTTAACTTCAGATGGAGATCCTCTGAACAGCTGCACACTCAGTTAATCCAAACAGGAAGTGAACAGGTCCAAACACAATGCACTGTGCTACACGATGAAATAGTTTCAAAAAGAAATACTGCAGTTTTATTGTGTTCAAGCATCCAGAATTACAACCACATTAATAACATTTGTAAGCAGGATTTTAGCTGGGAATATTTCACTTCATAGCGTTAAGTTACAATTGTCCTTCCTGGTAGGGAACAGTAGGCATGCAGCGGCTAATTTGGGCTATAATCCCTGCTAGTCTTGGAATTGTTAATTATTACAGTTGGAAAAATTTAATTCTTTCAAACACAAAAAATAGTATCTAGTACATATTGAGAGAACAATAAGAAAGAAAACAACAGTTCTAATTTGATTTCTTAGTAATTCTTACTGTTAGAGCATAAAAAGAAAAATAAAATGTTTGTGTGCATTTATGTATCTATAACAACATCATACTTGCCATTCAAAACACTCAGTAGTGGTCGGCTCAGTCACCCCAGATAAAATAATTTAAGTCCACTCGAATATTAGGCTAAAAGTTAGCTATAGATATGGCGTAACTTCATATGGCAGTAAAACATCAATGATTACATTATTTGGAAAACTGAGATTGGGTTTGTGTTCTGGAAAAATGAAAATGTTCAATTTAAACATAATCTCAAGCTTTAAAGATAAAAGTGGACGTCCAAACTTGTGATTGTGGTGTCAGAGCTGAAGTGCATGCTGGGAGATGATGTTACAGTCTGTTTATATGTAATTAGATCAACACAAGGATTATTAAAGAGAAGTCTTTCTGCTATGTTTGTCTTTCCAGACCACCTTCAGGATTATGTTGGAAAAGAGCAGGATTTCTCTGACCAGCAGCTCTGTGGACGTGAGAAGAATTCCAGTTTGGACCAAAAGGAACCAGAACCTCTGCAGATAAAAGAAGAGCAGCAAGAACCAGAACATCCCTGGACAAAGGAGGAAATCATGGAGCTCCCCATTAGCGAGCACGAAGAGCAGCTTGTTCTGCAGGAGGAGATGGAAGATACAGGAGAGAAACCTTCCCCATGTTTGACATGTGGAGAAACATTTCTGAAAAAAGAACATTTAATGGTTCACATGAGAACACACAGAGGTCAGAAGATTTATAAATGCCTGTCCTGTGGAAAACGCTTCACCTCCAAGTCTGTCCTTAGTACTCACATCAGAATTCACACAGATAAAAGGCTTTTCTCCTGTACCATTTGTAACAAGAAATTTACTCGAAAGAATAGTTTGACCAATCACATGAGAATTCACACAGGTGAGAAACCGTTTGAATGTCTGTCCTGCGGAAGAGGCTTTACCTCCAAGTCTTATCTTAATACTCACAAGAGAATTCACACAGGTGAGAAACCTTTTGTTTGTCTATCTTGTGGAAAACGCTTCACCTCTAAGTCTGATCTTAATACTCACATGAGAATTCACACGGGTGAGAAGCCTTTTGAATGTCTGTCCTGTGGAAAAAGCTTCACTCAGAAATCTCATCTTAATAGACACATGAGATTTCACACAGGTGTGAAGCCTTTTGAATGTCTGTCCTGTGGAAAAAGCTTCACTCAGAAATCCCATCTTAATACACACATGAGATTTCACACAGGTGTGAATCCTTTTGAATGTCTGTCCTGTGGAAAAAGTTTTACAGAGAAATCTCATCTTGATAGACACATGAGAATTCACACTGGTGAGAAACCTTTTGAATGTCTGTCCTGTGGAAAAAGCTTTACTGTTAAATCTCATTTTGATAGACACATGAGAATCCACACAGGTGAGAAGCCTTTTTCCTGTACGATTTGTCACAAGAAGTTTACTGTAAAAAGTAATTTGACCACTCACAAGAGGATTCACGCAGGTGAGAAACCTTTTGAATGTCTGTCCTGTGGAAGAGACTTTACCTCCAAGTTTAATCTTAATACTCACATCAGAATCCACACAGGTGAGAAGCCCTTTGAATGTCTGTCCTGTGGAAAACGCTTTACTGTGAAATCTCATCTTAATGGACACATGAGAATTCCCACAGGTGAGAAGCCCTTTGAATGTCTGTCCTGTGGAAAACGCTTCACCTCTAAGTCTGATCTTAATAAACACATCCAAATTCACAGGAGAAATACCTTTTGAATGTCTGTCCTGTGGAAAAAGCTTCACCAACAAATCTAATCTTTATACACACCTCAGAATTCACACAGGAGAGAAGCCTTTTTCCTGTTCGATTTGTGGCAAAAGATTTACTCTAAAAAGTCTTTTGACTAGACAAATAATTCACATAGGTGAAACCTGTTCTCCTGAATGTTTTGTGACAAAGGTTTTAAAAGAGAAGGTAATTTGAGTATTCAGATGACATTTGTTCATGCATGATGTAGAAGGATTTAGATAAAAAAAAAAAGAAAAATTGTTTCACATAAGTCACAGCAGTAGATGCCACAGAGTTTGACCAATCACATGAGAATTCACACAGGTGAGAAACCGTTTGAATGTCTGTCCTGCGGAAGAGGCTTTACCTCCAAGTCTTATCTTAATACTCACAAGAGAATTCACACAGGTGAGAAACCTTTTGTTTGTCTATCTTGTGGAAAACGCTTCACCTCTAAGTCTGATCTTAATACTCACATGAGAATTCACACGGGTGAGAAGCCTTTTGAATGTCTGTCCTGTGGAAAAAGCTTCACTCAGAAATCTCATCTTAATAGACACATGAGATTTCACACAGGTGTGAAGCCTTTTGAATGTCTGTCCTGTGGAAAAAGCTTCACTCAGAAATCCCATCTTAATACACACATGAGATTTCACACAGGTGTGAATCCTTTTGAATGTCTGTCCTGTGGAAAAAGTTTTACAGAGAAATCTCATCTTGATAGACACATGAGAATTCACACTGGTGAGAAACCTTTTGAATGTCTGTCCTGTGGAAAAAGCTTTACTGTTAAATCTCATTTTGATAGACACATGAGAATCCACACAGGTGAGAAGCCTTTTTCCTGTACGATTTGTCACAAGAAGTTTACTGTAAAAAGTAATTTGACCACTCACAAGAGGATTCACGCAGGTGAGAAACCTTTTGAATGTCTGTCCTGTGGAAGAGACTTTACCTCCAAGTTTAATCTTAATACTCACATCAGAATCCACACAGGTGAGAAGCCCTTTGAATGTCTGTCCTGTGGAAAACGCTTTACTGTGAAATCTCATCTTAATGGACACATGAGAATTCCCACAGGTGAGAAGCCCTTTGAATGTCTGTCCTGTGGAAAACGCTTCACCTCTAAGTCTGATCTTAATAAACACATCCAAATTCACAGGAGAAATACCTTTTGAATGTCTGTCCTGTGGAAAAAGCTTCACCAACAAATCTAATCTTTATACACACCTCAGAATTCACACAGGAGAGAAGCCTTTTTCCTGTTCGATTTGTGGCAAAAGATTTACTCTAAAAAGTCTTTTGACTAGACAAATAATTCACATAGGTGAAACCTGTTCTCCTGAATGTTTTGTGACAAAGGTTTTAAAAGAGAAGGTAATTTGAGTATTCAGATGACATTTGTTCATGCATGATGTAGAAGGATTTAGATAAAAAAAAAAAAGAAAAATTGTTTCACATAAGTCACAGCAGTAGATGCCACAGGAATGAACAGTATAAGCGTTTTCCATGTTTGAATGGGGATAAAATGTCTATTCTATATATCTAGAAACTCCACTGCATTACATAAGAAACTGATGGGTCAAAGTCTGTTTTGAGAAAGCCATTAATCTCCAGCTGTCGTTATATAGAAACTACAACAGATAAGGTGTATTATTGTAAACCTGGTAAATATTCAGGTTCTGGGTGAACGTGTGGATGTGAACATTTGACAGTTAATTATTTTGGGTCCTGAGAAAATGAAGATTTAAATGGCCAAAAAAGTTTGCCTTAAGAAGAAAAAGAGGTTTCCATTTATGATGTCTTAATTTCTCTGTACTGAAGGGAATAAACATAATAAAGTGCAACAACAGCATCCTGGTTACAGATGAAGCAAGTTAGCATCCATACAACAAGCTAATGGGAAGTTATAGATGTTTAAATTGGGAAAAAAATCCAGACGGACCCCTGCTGTGCCGTTTTGTTGTATTATATGATGATGTATTATATTCTGCTGTGGATGTTTTTAATTATTGTAATCACTTCTAAATTGATGAACGAGCAGCAATAAAAACCTCATGGATTGTAAAAATGTGTTTCTTTATATGGTTTCATATAAATTAGAAACAATCTTTTTCCATGTTTTCTCTGCTATTTTCAGCCAAACTAAAGCTGTAAAATAAATAGTTTAATGGCATTCACCTTCTGTCTTCTCCAGTCTTTCCTGTTGCTCCTCCGTCAGCATTAATCTGTTTGCTTTTTAGAGCCTGAGTTCAAATCTGGCCATTGGATAAATCCTCCTTTGCTTGTTGGAGAACTTAGATCAGGAAATAATGTAGGTACGTATTCTGGCCCAGTTGGTTTGGCTCCTGATAAAACAAGTGTTTCAGTTGCTATAACTGTGTGTGTCCAGAGCCGCTACAACCAAGCAACTAGAGGAATGAAGGATCTAAGTATGGCTGTGTTCACAATGCAGCCTGAAGGGAACCTAATCTGATGTTTTTATTTATTAAAAATCATTACAAAATGCCAAAATGAAAGTTCAGCTTCACAGATGAACTCCAGCAAACATTTTTAGTCCAGTGGGAGGCTGAGTGCACCGTGTGCAAAGCTGGCTCATTAGTTTCAGTGTCTAATAAAGGTGCTGGAGATCTCAAAGCTCACATGGACACTGAAAAACCTGAAAAAGCTCTGAGAGGTGAGAGTTATTCTGCAAAGCTGACTGAGTACTTTGTTAGACCTGGGAACATTTGTTGAATCTGTACTTTCTAGTACAGAAGAGGTCATGTTTAGAATATTATTTTATTTTGTTTATATATTTTAAAGAGAGCTATAATTTTTTATATTGTTACTGGTTGTTACAGGTATTAACAGGTATTTAGGCATAATAAAGCTGTTGATGAACCTTTGAGAAGCCTGTCTGAATCCGTCTGGAGGCTGGGCAAAGTGTCCTCTTTATGGAAATCTAAATATGTTCACCCTAATATATAAACCTATTCTAAAAGAATTAGTTCTGTAGTTCCCATTTTTAAGCCAACTGATGTTTGCAGGAGCTGTTTTGAACTAGACTACAGAGGGACGGCAGCAGTTTATGGATCATGTTACTTCATGTTTTTGAACTTTATTAGGGAGATTCACTGAGCCTCCTGATGGGTTTTTAGGCACAAGACGCTACAATTGAAAATAAACTTTGGTTTAACTGCCATGTCTGCTTTAAAAAGATAAAAAGAAACAAAATAATTCAGTTTTCTGGTATCTGGTGGGTCTTGGATCCGATTTGATTATATTACTGGCACTATGTCTACCCTGCTGTTTCAATGGGAAAAGGAACCATTCTATTTTTTTCTATTTTTGGAAGAGATCGTGTCTGCAGGTGGTTGAGGGACAACGCCTGAGTCAACTGCTCTGTTCAAAATCCTCAGAAGGCCAGATTCGAAGGCCGATTACGTCATAGCGCAGCGCCGAGGTCTGGTCGGATTCCAAGAGTCCTCGTTATGCGGCCTTAAAATGCGTCCTTCTTTTTGCCCGATTTGAAGGACGGGTCCGATGTATCCTCGCTATCCTTGGTTTACCCAGGATTCATTGCGAGACCAAGCAAGCCGGCTGCTCTGTGATCAGAGGAAAGGTTACTTGGCGCCGAACAGTGGTGAAAATTGGAAGTTCAGTTTAATATAATACAAGTCAGTGAATAGTTCCGTCTGAAATGAATGAAAATAGTTGTTTTAATGGTTATTGAGTCAGATATGTGGCGGTAATGTTTGATTTATCTAAAGGTTTTATCTGTTACTGTGTAAATGGGTTTGGCTGTAATTTAAGGACAGATTCTAATATATCTGCAGGGTGGGGACTATAAATCTGATAGGATTTTTATCTTTTATTGTTGTTTTGCACAATATGCTTAACTAAGTATTTTTTGTTGTTGAATATTGGAGATTTGGCATATATATTTTTTATAAATACATTTTTTAGATTTACTTATATCTTTCTACCCCTTTTATAGAATAGAATAGAAAATCCCTTTATTGTCCCTCAATGGGCAGATTTACAGCAGCAAAAAGATTATTGAAAATGGTCACACAAATGAGGACCTTAGAAAATGTCTAAGAATAACATAATAGGGAAGAGTTAAAATATAAACAATAAAATACTGTAAAGTGTTTTAACAATATAAAACTGGAGAATAAATAACCAATATGCAGCTATGGACATTTTTACAGTAATGGATATTTGAAAATAGCAGCAACATCAGAGATGTGCAGAATGACAGCAGCAGGTTATTTAACTGACTAAGGTTTCTATCATTACATTTGATTTGATTTGTTCCTGCTCCCGGTGGTTGGAACCTTTATTCCACTCTGGATTCTTGTGAGTGCAGTCTTTGTTTGCTTTATGATAAAAAATAAACAGTTTTGAAAACTTTGGTTTTCATTCTTTTCCTTCTTTGTGTGTCAACTTTCACGGTTGCTAAGCAACAGAGCATATGGCGGTAAAACCCGCAGAAGGGAGGACCTGTTTGAATTCACAGCCAAAACTCTTCCGATGAAGATTTTCACGGACTTGGAAGGATCCAGTCTAGGTAGACCGCGTCCTTGGAGGATGCAGCCCAGGTTTTGGAACAGAGCCAACATTCTCATTAGATGAGAAGTCCTTGAAATATGGGTCCTCCTCAACACAGTCCAGTGTCTCAGAGACGAGCTCCTCTGAGTCCCTTTCACTGTCAAATAGCTGTTTAGAAACTTCTTAGATGGTACATTTTTTCAAAAACATTTTCAAAGAGAGCGTGAATATTGCAGTCCACTCAGAGCACAATGAGGAATGATTCAGATAGAGGACTACTGAGCAAGCTTTTATATTTGCTCCTCTCTGATTCTGCATGAACTGCCAATGTCCTTGCAGGAATTTCCCGCCCTCCACAGAGCAGGAGAAGTCAGATCTACTTTGGCAGGTGTGAGTTCAGAAGGTCACTCAGACACACACTCCTTCATGCCCATGGTGCAGAAGTATAGAGGTTTCCATGGAAACACAACAACATATATCAACTCTAATGGATCTCCTGCACCTGCAGGTGTGGTCATGTTAGGTCACACACATATGAAGCAAAAAAGAAAGTTAACTATTTGTTTTTTAATAATAAACATTGAATGGGATCAAACTGACACAAAGAAGACAGGTGTAGGAGCCAATTATCCTTTGGTGTTTGTCGCCACCAGGGGGCGTATTTAATTTTGAGTTCTGAGTGTCTGATGAGGGGATGGGTTATTTAAGGTCAACCATCAATTCTGTTCAGGTGTTGTTAATAGGCTGAGGCAAACAGTTTTCCACCTTAATATAAAGAGATTCATTTTCAGAGTTTAAATATTGTAGAAAAACCCAAAGATTTTTACTCTCAGTTCATCACTGGTTACTGTCTAAATCTTTAAATTTGATATTATTGCCCAAAATAAACAAATAGAATTTATAGTTAATAGTATAATTATTATGGTAATTTTTTTCATACACGAGTCCAAAAAAAGTTTTAAAAAACAATCCACTGGACTTTGTTTCTAAGTTTGAAGACAATTTGCTTCCCATCCATGAAGCTTTTTCAATTCAAAATGTCAGAAATAGTGTTCAGTTTGAGGCTTTATAGAGTGGATCAAAAGCAAAGCCTTGTTTTGGCTTAGAAAACATGCAACTTGAACCTGATGAGCGGGTCCTCCCCTTTGGAATGGAGGTCGTTTGGCTTCTTTGTTAGCCTGTAATACCTGAAACCCGTCTATGTCTCTAAAGGGGAACAGAGCAAATGTAACCCAGGGTGAAAACTGCCCTTAGTCCCGCCTTACTGCCCCATTGGTTAGAGTAACAGTCAGTCACACAGTGCATGCAGCCAATTGACACACCTGAGGCAATTATTTAGGCTTTCTCCAGCTTTCCCCAGTCAGATGTGAGGGGGAGAGCTGGAGACAAAGGAGCTACAGGTTGGTGTTTGTGGTGTAATTTGTTATAAGCAGTTTTTGTCTTATTGTGAAAGGCCCAACAGGAAGCACTGTGCGTGTTTCCGGGTTGGTGTTTTGCAGAAGCTAAATAAAGGAGACAATTGTTCGACAAGAAGTTGGCTGATTTCTTTTAAAGACCGCGAACACGACATGGTGTCAGAAGTGGTGAGGATTGCCTGAAAGAGCTATTATCGGAGAGTGACTTTGACAAGCTACGGGAGCGAGAACGTGAGTTTTATCAAGTTAAAACTATGTCGGATGTCGAAGCGGGAGCTAGCGCGCCTGCTGCGCCGCCCCGAGTTGTGCCGCCCCGACCGCAGGCAGATGGCAGCAACAATGCTAACGCCAACCCACCTCCTAATGCTACATTCACCATTCAGCCTCCAGAAGCATTTGATTTCGCAAAGCCACAGCAATGGGAAAAGTGGATACGCAGGTTTGAAAGGTTCAGACTGGCTAGCAACCTACACCTTAGCTCCGAGGCTAATCAAGTGAACACACTCATCTATTGTATGGGGGATGAAGCAGATGATATTCTGCGGGGACAAGCATTACCAGATGCTCAAAGACACCAATACCAAGCGGTGAGAGACATTTTGGATGCATATTTTGTGCCCAGGAAAAATATCATCTATGAGAGAGCCAGATTTAACCAGAGAGTGCAGCAGCTTAATGAGACTGTTGACTCGTTTGTCACTGCGCTTTATGCTTTGGCTGAAAACTGCAACTACGGTGCATTGCACGATGAGTTAATAAGAGATCGTCTCGTTGTGGGCTTGAGAGATACCAGCCTGGCGGAAAGACTTCAAATGGATAAAGATTTGACGCTGGAGAAAGCAGTGAATCAAGCCCGGCAGTCTGAAATCATAAAAAGGCAACAGACAGACATCAGGGGGGAAAATAAAGTGGAAATAGATGCTGTTTCGGCAAAATACAAAAAACAGAAACATCCTTCCTACAAACCCCAAATCCAACCAAAGTACACCACAAAAGCAAAAACATCAAGTGAGAGATCATGCTACAGGTGTGGTAAAACACCCGCTCATGGAAAAGGACAATGCCCAGCAAAAGATGTGAATTGTCATACATGTGGTAAAAGAGGACATTACAGTAAAGTGTGTAAATCTGCAAAATCTGTGCATGTGATAGAAACCGATGGCTGTAATGTCACACCCATGTTCCTTGGTTCTGTAGAGGCAGGTTCTGATCCCTGGTATGCAGACCTTACGATCAGAAATCACAAAGTTAGATTTAAGATAGACACGGGAGCTGATGTCTCAGTTATTCCAGCTCAGACATATTTCTGCATTAACCCAAACACGAGAGAGCTATGTAAACCAGATAGACCCTTGTTTGGTCCAGGTGGTAATCCACTTAATGTGGTGGGCATGTTCACGGAAACGTTGTGTAGAGGAGAACATGTAATGCAAGAAAACATGTATGTAATAGAAGATTTACATGTAGCTCTGTTAAGCAGACCAGCAAGCGTTAAGCTAAACCTTGTATCCAGAGCAGATAGCATAGACATTAAGGTGTTAAAGGACAACTACCCTAAATTGTGTCAGGGTTTAGGAGTGATGCAGCAACCGTACACCATCAAGTTAAAACCTAATGCTGTACCCTTTTCCCTGGCCACACCCAGACGCGTCCCCATCCCTTTGCTGGGAAAAGTGAAACAGGAACTGGGGATAATGGAGTCAATGGGAGTCATTAGCAGAGTTGAAGAGCCAACGGCCTGGTGTTCAGGTATGGTCCCAGTGCCAACTAAAAATGGATCAGTGCGCATATGTGTGGACCTCACTCATCTTAATGAAGCTGTTTGCAGGGAAAAATACATCCTGCCCTCTGTTGAACAGACACTTGGATCCCTGGCCGGGGCAAAAGTTTTCAGTAAGCTCGACGCAAACAGAGGCTTTTGGCAGGTTCCACTGTCACCAGAGTCAGCACACTACACAACATTCATCACGCCTTTTGGACGATACCACTTTAACAGACTTCCTTTTGGGATTGCCTCAGCCCCTGAACATTTTCAGCGTAGAATGTCAGTAATCCTAAATGGACTGCCAGGTGTGGTTTGTCACATGGACGACATTCTGATTTGGGGACAAGATCAGTTGGAACACAACACCAGACTTCACACCGTGCTTAAGAAGCTACAAGAGGCTGGAGTCACGTTAAACATGGATAAATGTGAACTGACCAAACAGGAAGTAAAGTTCCTAGGACATATCTTGTCTGCAGATGGAGTTCGACCCGACCCGGACAAAATAAAAGCTGTGAAAGCTATGAAGGAACCAACTAATGTCAGTGAACTTCGCAGTTTCCTTGGGATGGTTAATCAGTTGGGCAAATTCATTCCAGGACTGGCAGACAAGGATAAGCCCCTGCGTGACCTCCTGTCAAAGAAAAACCAGTGGGTTTGGAGCTGTGCACAACAAAAAGCGTTCGATCAACTGAAAAATGATCTGACGTCGACACCAGTCCTCACACTATACGACCCAAACAAAGAGTTGAAACTGTCAGCAGATGCCTCATCCTATGGTCTGGGAGCTGTTCTATTTCAGAAGGAGGGGGAGCAGTGGAGACCTGTCGCATATGCATCACGCTCCCTAACAGAAACTGAACAGAGGTATGCACAGGTGGAGAAGGAGGCGCTTGGATTAACGTGGGGATGTGAAAGATTCAAAGACTTTCTTATTGGGAGACATTTCTCCTTAGAAACGGACCATAAGCCACTTGTCAGCCTGCTAGGACAACAAGCACTTACAGAGCTTCCTCCCCGGATCCAGCGGTTCCGACTCAGGCTTATGAGGTACAGCTACTCAATCACCCACACTCCAGGCAAAGCTCTCCTTACAGCAGACACACTTTCACGTGCACCCGTTAACCAGGATCCAGATCCTAGAGCTACTGCTGAACTGTTGGAAGCCACAAACATTTATGTGGACGAAATCATTAGAAGCCTACCTGCTAGCTCGGCATACATCACACAGCTGAGAGAAGAGCTCATAACAGACAGTATATGTTCAGAGGTTATCTCATATTGTCAGAAAGGCTGGCCAGACTACAGCTTTCTTTCTGGCCCTATAAAAACATATTGGCCTCATAGAGATACTCTAACTGTACTGGATGGACTGTTATTAAAAGACGCCAGACTTGTTATTCCAACCACTATGCGGAATTCTGTCCTTGTCGCCCTACATGAGGGACATCAGGGAATGTCCAGATGCAGAGAACGCGCCAGAGAGACAGTTTGGTGGCCTGGTCTGAGTGGTCAAATCAACGAACTCGTGAAAAACTGCTCTGTATGCATAAAAGACCGTGCCAACCCTGTGGAGCCTTTAATGCCTAGTGAGCTCCCAGAGAGACCCTGGCAGAAGGTCGGAGCAGATCTTTTCACCTTAAACGGCAGTAATTATTTACTTCTGGTGGACTACTACTCCAGGTTTGTGGAGATAGCTAAACTGACTTCTACAAGATCTGAGGATGTCATTGTGCACGTGAAGTCGATATTTTCCAGACATGGAATTCCCGAGCTTTTCTACAGTGACAACGGTCCCCAGTTCTCAAGCCAGCAGTACAAAGACTTTGCAGCAGCCTATGGTTTCAGTCATATAACCAGCAGCCCAAGGTTTGCTCAAAGTAACGGCGAGGCTGAACGTCATGTCCAAACTGTAAAAAGGCTATTAAAGAAAGCAAAAGATCCCTATCTTGCACTTTTGGCTTATCGTGCAACCCCATTGGCTAATGGATATAGCCCAGCTCAATTACTAATGGGACGTAGACTTCGCACCCCTGTCCCTCAGCTTCCCTCCTTGCTTATTCCCAGCTTGCCAGACAAGAATGCAGTGGAGTCGAGAGAGAGAGAGAGGAGAACAAAGGACAGCAAGGCGTTTAACAGGAGACATCGGGTGAGAGACCTTCCTCAACTTTCCCCAGGACAGCACGTGTGGATAAGGGACACCAAAACTGAAGGGATAGTCATCTCAAGCCACTCCACGCCCCGTTCATATGTGGTGGAAAGCCCTTCTGGTGCCATCAGGAGGAACAGACATCACCTGATGCCACTAACTGACTTCACACCAAAGATACAACTCCCCAGTACACCTACAAGTCCTACCGAAGCCATCTCGCCCACACCAAACCAGCCTGAGAATGAAAGTCAGGAGTCAAAGACAGTTTCACCAGCTCCTGTCAGAACAAGATCTGGTAGAGTTGTGATAAAACCTCAAAGACTCAACTTGTAATTTTGAAAAGGGTTCATATAAAGAGATTGTGAAAAAGAAAAAAAAAATACAAATGTTCAGCTCACATACTATAAGAAATTGTGATGTTAAAACGTTGTTGGTGTGATTGTTCATGTAGTGCATTGTTTTCTAAGAAAGGGGGATGTGGTGTAATTTGTTATAAGCAGTTTTTGTCTTATTGTGAAAGGCCCACAGGAAGCACTGTGCGTGTTTCCGGGTTGGTGTTTTGCAGAAGCTAAATAAAGGAGACAATTGTTCGACAAGAAGTTGGCTGATTTCTTTTAAAGACCGCGAACACGACAGTGTTCCCAAACAATCAGTTTATCTCTTTGTTTGTAATGCACTGTTTAACCTCACAATATAAAAATCATGTAGATCCGAGAAATCCAGTGAGTTTGGAGCCTTGGAGCTGCCATACTCTCATCCATTATTGGAATTGGTGAGTAGAGAGCAAAATGTTTGTTGTTTTAGCATGTTGGTGGCAGCAAATGCTATGTGTGATCAATTGTTGTAATCTAACTTTAAGATGATGAGATAAATGTTCTTTATTTGGTCTGACAGATTAGATATTGCATTTATTTCTGTGTGAAACTGGAAAAGTCTAGTTAACTAGCCGGCTGGAAATTTACTGGTCCTGTTTATTTTAATACAGGCCAGGTGATCCCTTTTTAGGGAAAAACATGGCGAGCTTCTGAAAACCTGCTGGAGCCAGGAGAGCCTTAAGAATCACTCCACAGTGGACTGGTCTGTATCATTTCCCCCCTCCATCTCACCACTCAGGCACACTTCATTATTCACCTCTTCATCTGAAACAACTTGCGCTGGGAC